AATGACACTCATCTTACCAATTTGTTAGCTGATGCTAAAATTAGAGGCAAATGAAAGACAAAATTGGGTCGCTCTCTAGCTACCTGATACTACATGTTCTGACACTTTTGGTTTTTTGGGCTCTCATGTATTTTTCTGTATTATTTTTTTCTGGAATCATTTGCATGTGGGTAGAGTGTCATGCTTGGGTCACCTCATACAATCTATATGTATATTTCTTTCTTTTTAATATATTAGCCCTTGGGTTTTCTCAAGTATATATATATCGTCTTCTTCGCTCTGCTAGGGTTTCCGCTCCAATAGAGACACATTACCCATACTATACCAAGCACATTACTACCCAACAAAAGATACATATAGTCTCAAAAAATTTAAAACATGCAGAAAACAAGTAGCTAGGGACGAGCCAATTTAGCCCTGCCTCTTCCTCTGGTTCTTGGAGCGGATCCAGATAAGATATTCTGTTTCGTGCAATTGACAGAAGTAACCAAAGTATCATCCATTAAGTTTACAAGTTGGAGTGTGCCCTCAACCTTCTGCCAGGAAGTGTAAATCTGCCATTCTTCATCTGAAAATTGGCTCATGTGACCTTCGGTCTGATTAGATATTAGAACCACAGTAAAAGTAAAGGCAGTCGTTGCCACAACGATAGGCTCCAGTGCCTGTGAGGTGTGAATTGTCATCTCTGCATCTGATGCTTTCTGAATAGGAGCTGCGGGACTATTCTGACTTTTGGTCTGAACATTATCCCTTATATTATGGTCAGGAGAAGGGTTCCCAAGGGCAGACACCATTTTCTATCTTGTGGTGTTTCCTCTCTCAGGTTGGCTATCATTAGTTTTGTTGGGTGCGTTCAGGCATGTGAGGTGCACTAACATTATGTTCCTGCTTTTGACTATTTGTTCTCAACTGTGGGTGCAATTTGAAACATTCTCTTGCGGGTGTCCAAACATCTTGCATTGCTTGCAGTAGTAAGATTTTTGTTTTATAATGAATTTTTGTCAATAACCATTGTGAGCAGAGCCAAGCCAGACTTCTTCTACATATGGTAGTGTAATATCCCTTTCAATCAAAATCCTTGCATTAGAGGGTCTAGAGAAATAAACTGTAGGTGTGTCTACCTGCAAATGTTTTCCAAGGATAGTCCCAATTGCATATAAGATAGGTAGGCCAAAGAATTGAAGCTTGAGTTCATGTAATGAGAACCAGATAGGCGCAATTGAAGGTTCTTGACTAGGATCAAAATCTGGGGTTCATTTGAGCAATTTCATATGATTGCCCTCGATTGTGATGAATTTCTTTGAGAAAATCCTTGTGTAATCTTCTTCTATGCTTAGCTATATCATAACATGTTTTTCGTTAAAAAGACCCAACTGTCAAGCCCCAACTAGTTTGAAATCTTCAAAAACCTTCATGATAATCTCCATCTTAGGACGATCTAATTGAAACTTTCCAACTAGTAAAAATTTGTATTTTCCTGCTCGAGTTGAAATTTCAGCTTCTGAGAAGAATAGTGCTGGTTTGCCTGCCTTCTTCTCTATTTTTTTGATGAGATTGCAATTTTCATGTCCTGCAACAAAATCATGATACATCTGCGGGAACATCGGACTATCTGCGAGGTGGAAATGGGAGTTAATGGAAAGGGTAGCTGCGTTTGTGTATCGCTGTAGCGGAGGGTTTGATGGGATTATCACCAGCGAGGGCGGCGTAGGATAGCCCCGAGGCCATGATCGTGCTTCACACAAGCATAGCAGGCGCAGAGAGGGGAGCCAAAGAGGTCGAGGGGAAGCCGCAGTCGCAGCTCGACGAGGTCGACGCAAAAAGACGAGCCGTGGAACTTGCAGCTCGACGAGATCCATGCAGAAGCTGGCGTGAGGGAGAGACGACGAAGCCGAAGAATACCTTCGTCGTTGTAGAGGAGTCGACGGTCGACGATCGCGAAAAACAAATACAGAATTCGTCGTCGAGTACGAGAACTTCCGAAAAGTCGAAGGATCAAACCAGGGAATCGCCATCAGGCAAAACCCTAGCGGAGCAGCCCGCCATCGACTCCATCCAACGAATATATATATGGTGTGTATATATATATATTATGAAAGCCCAAAAAGGCTAATATATTAAGTAAAAAGTAAGATACTGATACAATGTGTTGGAGGGCCCAAAACATGGCTCCCTGCCAACAACAAAACCAAAAGGGGTTTCAAAACTAGAGAATACTGAAAAGTACATTAGAGATAGAGGGAAAAGCCTAAAACTGTTGAAGTACAAAATATCAGGTGGCTAGAGAGCACCCAATTTGGATTTGCCTTTGCCTCCAGTTCTAGGAAAGGAGCAAGCTAATAAGTTGGTGAGATGATTGTCATTGCCAGTAATAACCAATGTATCATCCAATAACCAATGTATCCAATGTATCATCCAATATGTTTCCGAGCTGGAGTCGACCTCCATTCTTCTTATTCCTTCTGGAATAGACCTGTCATTCTTCATTCGAAGATTGACTCTCCTGATCTTGGTCTAATGTGTGCTGAAGCTGTGCAGATTGTTGAACGTTAGAAGCAACTACATGTTGTACCGGCTGATCTGTTGTTGGATCAAAGGAGCACTTTCGTGTGTCTTGACGTGTAAGCGAGTTTTCTTCAATAGCAGTGGGTGGTATGTGCACAAATAGATCTGTAGCTGTAGTAAGTTGTTTTTGCACAGGAGCAACGGTGTTGGGAAGAGGATCAGGTTGCATCTTCTCAACAGGGATAATAGGTGGCTGCTCTTTTGTGATATTTGGCCTTAGATGAGGATGCAGTCGATAGTAAATAGTAGAACTGTGTCCAAACATACTACAATGAGAGCAATAGGGAAGATGTTCTATTTCAACCTTTTGCCAATGCCCGTTGTGAATAGTGTCAATTCATATCTCATCCGGAGCTGGTTAAGTGATATCTTTCTCAACTAACACACAAGTCACATAGGGTCTAGTGATAGCAAGTGTAGGACTATCCACCTTGAGAGGCTTATCGTAAGCAGTTGCTAAAGAGTAAAGATGAAACTTTATCCAAACGGGAATAATAGGGGACTCCATTTTTAGATAAAATTTTTGGATAAAAACCGACTGTCCACTTCAGAATCTTCATCAAACGATTGTCAATCTTGATAGTTTTATGAGAGAAAATGCGAACGTAATATGTATCATGAGATAGCAGAATAAGCATATGTCTACCGTCAATTAAGCCAATGTTCCAACTGCCCAATAGTTTCATAGCATCAAACTTTTTTCTATTTATCTCCAGTTTTGGGTGACCATAAAGGAATTTCCTCACTAGAGAAAAACGCCAAGAGGACGCGAGAGTACCGGTTTCAGGCTCTGTGAGAATAAGTGCAGGCTTCTCATTTTTTTCCAAGCTTTCTGATAAAAGTGTGATCACTTCCACCTTCAAAAGCCTTGTGGAATGCTTCTGGAACATTGCAAGACTTACCGATAATAAAACCAGGTGCTGAACCTGGAGGAGGGGCGCTAGCAGGAGAGGACAAGTCGCCGGCAAGGGCATTTACATAGGAACGGATCATCGAGGCCATCTCCCTCCCAAAATGTCACGGTCAGGAGAGACGACGGGCCGCAAAAATAAGAAAAGGATGCGAGAAACCGTCTTCCAGGCAGGCGCGTCCGTCTGCGACATGCGAACAGAGCGTAGTCGGGTAGGAAGACGAAATCAAAAGCGAGCAGCATGTTGTCGTTTAGGAGACGACGTGTGCACAGTTCGTCTTCGTCGGTTGCGAACGAAGATGGGTCGTCGATTAAGAGACGACATGCGAACAGAGACGTCGTCGTCGTCTTCGGTAAGCAAAGCGAACAAAGCGACGTAGTCGGGTTGGAGAGGAGAGACGATTTGCGAGCTTAGCCGGAGAAAAGAAGTGAATCCGAAAGTTTCAGCGTCGGGGATCGCCTTAAGGCGAAACCCTAGCAGAGCCCTTTCAGCGCCGACGTTTACTCAATAGATTATCTATATATATATACAATACACACACACATATACATGTATATATATGTATATATGTATGTATATATAGATATCTATATAGATGCATATCCATACATATATATGTGTGTACCTACTTAAATACATATATCTATATATATTCTGAAAATGTGTTAAAAATATAAATTATTTTTCGTCAATTACATAATTTTATTATTCTTTTACAAAATTTTTTAAACGTAAAATAAATTCATCCATTAGTTTTTCAAGTAAACTTTTGACTATTTTAAAACTCATTCTCTAATAAATAATATTAAAATTGAAAATTCAATTGAAATCGAATAATTCATATAATTTCAGTTTGAGTGAGCTCTTAGTGCATAATTCTTGATTATTTAAAAATTTTTCATTTGGAAAAATGTGTTGAATGTCGTGAAGAGATTAAATTATAATTTTTCAACAAAAAAAATATTTATATACAAACCACATAAATTTTGAATAATTACATAAAAGAAGAAAATACCGTTCAATTCATGTAGGAACTGTAAATTAACATAAGATATGATCTACGACCAAGTTAGAGCAAATTTTAATTATCTGGGACTAAACTGGAGTATTCTAAAACTCTGAGGCTAACTTATTCACTTCTCAATAGTTGGGGGGCTATGTTGGGCTTTCACTCTCTTATTTTAAAAAATTTGATTCGTTAACTACTCCCATGAGAGCCTCAGAACCACGAAATGAAAAAGAGGAAAAATAACTACTCCCATGAGAAGTTTTTGTTTTGTTTTTCTGTACTTCTATTTTGGCGTTTAGATCTTTCCATTATAACGAGCTTATTGGACTCCAAATCTAGTCTTTATTTGGTTTCCTTCTCTTAAACAGTAACTCTATGTTTTGTTGGTCCTGTCCTTTAGCTTCTGGGGTACTTCTCACATCTATTTTTTCCCGAAACCTATCAATTTTTGCACATTTTTTACTGGCTGTATTTTTGTATTCTTTTATTTTAGCCTTCTAGTTTTGCTTATGCAGCCTTAGTAGAGCCAATGCCAACGTTGTTCTGCAATCTAAAAGCGGAAGAAAATCTCACTGTTGTATGCAAGGTATTTATAACCGTTTTATGAACGTTTTTTTGCAAGCTCTATTTTAGGCTAATTTGTAATAAAAAATAAAGGTTAATCTTGTTGTTGCTGGGTGAAGGTCTTTCATGTGAGTGAAACTTCTGATGGGGATCTAGTATTGTTTGTTTGGGATGCAACAGACTCTCCTCTTGTAACTCTGCAGATAGCGTAAGTTCTTTATGTTTTTATTTTTTCTTTACCTATTTATTCATTATTTCCTGAGAACTTTTGGCTATGTGAAGAGTGAGCTTCAAATACAATCATAATCAACAAGCCTCCTAATAACTTGAGTTGTGCGGAGCAAGCATTATATATTAAATTTTCCATGAAACTGTGGTTAACTTTAACCATTTTTATTTGACTAAGGCTTAGAGTAACAATTTGTGTGCTCATTATCCATATTTGTTTTGGAAAAAAATATCACTAATTCTTAAATTCTCAATGGACATACATTATATTACATGAACTCGGTTTGTTGTGTTTTATTAGTGGTCTTTTTGCTGGTCTACATATTTTTTTTTTCTAACTGCTGTTCTTTATTCATTTCTTTTTTACTTTAAAATCTTAGGAATCAATTGATAGAATAATACAAGTAATACAATCAAAATGGCAAAACTTGTAAACAATCTAGTGTATATTTTCAATTTTTTTTCTCCTCTTGAGAAAAAAAGCATACCCTCTTCTATCAGCCATATTAGTTTAGCAGAGATTTTTCTAAAGGAACAATTAATTAGCATGCTAAATTTATATCAATTTAGTGAATGATTATCATTTCATTATGTACTAAATAATTATGCAAATATTTAGTATGAATGCTCAAAGGAATATACTGATCAATCTATAAAGTAAGTTTTATATTCTTTTATAAAAATTTTTACTAAATCATCTTATTCAATTATAAAATTTATTCCTTTTAAGTAATTTTATTTTCAATTTCACTTTTTTTAAAAAAAAAACATCTCACGACCAATAAAAAGTACATCTATTATCTTTTCAATTTCCATTTAGTACCAATAAAGATACAACCATTATAATTTCTTGTAGTTCTTTGTACCAAAAAAGGTACACCTATTATCTTTTTTTGTCTTTCACATAAACGAGTACAGTAATGTCTTCAGTTAGTACCATAGAGGGGCTACTCCTGATAGACTTAACATTAATTTTTTTATTTATAAATATTTTATTTCTTTTAGTCATTAAAATCATTTAATTTTTATTTGATACATGGCTAAAAATAATGAAAAAAAAAGAAAAATCCTTTTTATCTTCATTCAATTATTAAATGTGTCTTTATTGTGTAAGAACAAATGAAATATTTTAAAAATAAAAATTTTTTAATGCAAATAAAATAAAATATACTCACCATAACCCATTTTTTTTTAATTGCACGTGCACGCTTCACGTGCAATACAAAGCAGCTGTGCGTGTCATTGATGTGTGAAGCACACAGTTCACACTTGAACCACGCTTCAAAGCCCATTAAAGCAAGCAGCTTGATTCAGTTCTTGAGAGAGAGAGAGAGAGAGAGGGAGAGAGAGAGAGAGAGAGGAAATAATGCCTAAAAAATTCGGTCTTGTGTCCGAAAGAGCCGCAAGAAGCACAAGTTCCTTTTCTGGTTTTCAAGTGTTCGCAGGAGAGCATCATCTTTGATTTTGATTTCGATTTCGATTCCAATTTCGATTTCAAGCTTGAGTTCGAAGCCTTCAATTCAATTGCCACTTTAAGTTATTAATTACTCACCTCGGTTGCTATGCTAGGTTCTTAATCTTCGGTAAATAGCTAGACGTTGTGGTAACTTTTATATGAATATTAATAACCTTTAAAATAAAATATCAAACTTTACGATTTAAACAATTTCCATTAATCAAATCATTCTTTTTAGCATAAGGTTAATTTACCTGAATTTATAGAGCCGCCATATGACTAACCTTCACATGCTTGCCTCAAGCTCGATGCTTCTATTAAACAACAGTAATATGTAAATATCTTACAATTTCATGATAGCTTGGAGCATAAAGTGATTTAACCAAAGACATAACTGAGTAGCTTAAACGTACCTTAAACAAGCTTCACGACAAACCTCAATCTACATCGATTCTGCCAAATCTTCTTCCCTCATCTTCATATCTTTGCTTACATTTCCTTTGGCCTTGCTGATCTCATTCTCGAAGCTCCAACGAAAGCTTGCAAACCACTTTCGACACTTCTGACACAAGTTAAATGCCTTCGACATATTGAAAATGAAAAGTGCATAAAATCGAGGCAAATATCAAAACAGAAGTAAGAGGAAGGAAATAAAATATCAAATGTTGCTAAAAAATAGTTTCGTACCTTGAGGTTTCACCCTGGAGCCTAAATCATAGCCTGGGGTATCCCAGGTGATCCCTTGACTCATTGCCCGCTCCGACACTATAGCAAGTGTAACAATCCTTACAGGCAAGCCGCATATCTTGAGTGAAGAGAAACCAAGTGAGGGAGAATCAAAATCAGAAGAGAGAAAGAGGTCGTGGTGCTATGTAGCTCGTGCTACTTCACCGTGTGCCGCTCGCCCCTTTTCTACGGTGAAGTATCGTATGATCCTTCTCTGCAAAGTGCGATCGAATAGAGTGCGAGGGGCGTGCGAACAAAATCGAGAGGGCGAGTGTTTAATGACTCTAGAATGAGGATTTCCTTATTTGACGCATATAGAGGGTTAAAATCGTAAGGTAAACCAGTTCTATATAGTAAACCAGGATTAGGTGTCACGATATGGCCTAGGGCATGAAATTAACTAAGCCAGGTACATGCAGTCGGAAGTTGTGAATTTAAAATTTTGATGTCCATTTTCTATATTTAGTAATTAAGAAAATGAAAGTCACTAATCGAGTTAAATTAAAACAACATATATATTTAAAATTACCCCATTACTTTTTTTTTCTACGTCTTCTATAAACATTCTCTTCTAACGCTCATCCTTAATATGAAAAGTTAGTTTAAAATAATAATGAGCAAAACAAGTTATTGAATCTCATACTCATAAACCAAGGTAATACAAGAAAAAAAAGATAATATGCATGTCAGTCAAGCTTTTAATAAATTAATAATAATATTCGATGCTATTCAAAGAACTTTTCTATATCAATAGTATATCAATATCATTTTATATCCGTACAACCTTCACAGGTGTACAACAACAACAACAACAACAACAACAAAGCCTTAATCCCACTACGTGGGGTCGGCTACATGAATCCTTTTTCTCCATTGCGTCCTATTTAGTGTCATATTTTCATTTAGTTCTAGTAAATTAAGATCATTTTTAATACAATAAGCCCAAGTCTTCCTAGGTCTACCTCTGCCTTTCTTAACACAAGTCGAATCTAAAACATCTACTCT